AAAAAAAAAAAAAAAAAAAAAAAAAAAAAACCTATAGAAAATATGTAATAGAATGCGAGATTAATTGTTGAATGATTGTTCTACAACCTAAACTTCTAATCTATTCAATTTCTTTGCTACATAATATCAGAACAATTTTATGAAATTGTATAATACTAAAACTTAATTTATTTGTTTTCACGTCAAATGAGATATCACTTTACCAACATGGATTAATTTTGGCCATATAAACTTAAAAAACTCTTACTTTGACATAATTTTAATGGCAAATTAGTAATACACTAACACACATCATATTTTATATTTTTAATTAAAAAATGAACTACCTAAAAACTCTTACTTTGACATCTTTTTAATAGCAAATTAGTAATATACTAATGCCCATCATATCTTATATTTTTAATTAATAATTAATATTTAATTAATTACATACAAATACATGAACAAATCATTCCACACTCCTAAAATCAACTACAATATGTTGGCACCATTATTTCTCACGAATTTGTTTTCTTCCACATATCTCTAAAATGTTTGATAAGATATAAAATAATTTATTATTGTGTGACTTTCAATTATCATTACTTATTATTGTGTGAATTTCCGTTTGAATTTTTTTCGGGTCATATTTCAACAGTTGGAAAAAATATCACTGGAATTGTAAAAATTTCAGTTGAAGTTCTGCTTAAAATCTACCCGCAATTAGAGGTGAGCATGGGTCGGTACGGTTCATAGATTGAGAAATCTCCGAAACCGTACCAAAATTCGGAGATCACGAAATTCGATCTCCGGAACCGTACCAAAAATTCGGGACGGCTCGATTCGGAGAAGAGAAATGAGATAACATTAGCTATGTGAATTAAAAAGACAAATAAATGAGTTGTACGTTAAACTATTATTCAATTACTGCTTGAAAAGGAACCCTATAATGGTGGTACCATATATGTATTCAGTGATTATGAAAATGACTTAATATTTTATCAAAACACTGGAAAATATTTTATACTTTTTAATCTAATAATTAATATAAAAAGTATATTTTTATCAAAATATTAAATTACATTTTATCTTATGTGATTATATTAATTGTACCCTAATGAAAGATAATTTGATAACATCATTATATGAAACACATACAAAAAATAACGCAACACATATAAATGTGCTTTAATTATTTAGCAAATAAAATATTATTTGTTTATAGAATAAGAAACAAATAATATAATAGTAACGCAATGAAAAAAGAAATCGCGTGAATAATTTTAGAAAGTATGAATGTCAATATTTACAAACAAAAAGTTTTTTAAAATTACTACTTTTTTCTTGCTAGCGTTTAAGTGTATGGACTCTGTATGAAATTGGTTCTCATAAATAATGATATAATATATTTATTTTAGTTTTAAATAATTAAAAAATCCAAAAATTTGTAATGCATATTGTATATTTTAATCATGACTCAATAATAATAAAATTTACAAATGACTAAGAGTATCGTAATATAATAGAATTCTAATTCTTCTCCTATCAAATATTTTACAAATGATATAACCTTTCAATATTTTCTCATTGTTTTGTTTGTTTTGTTTTGTCATTGTTGGTGAATAAAGAAATGATCTTTATCTTAAATTTTATAATCATTTTGTATGATGAATAATGTTGGACAATAAAAGCATTAAAGAAGTTATTAGGCACACAAATATTGTATATTTAAACGAATATGAAAGATATTATAATAAACAATTCTAAACTCATTGCAACAACCATGATGGTCAATGATTTTCAAATACTAGATTATATTGTTCGTCTATATTGCAAATAAATAACATGAAAAGGAAATGTCGAAGTATCAAAACAGTTTTGGGTGTTTGAATGAAGTTATCACTTTTTATAGAAATATCTATAATCTCATTATTGGTGTATTGTGCTCGAACATATGTGCAATTACTTTAAATGTATTTTCAGGTAATGTGTGATGATTTCAAAAAATAATTTAGCACCTCGGGAGAAGTACATGTAACCAAGATTTTGGAACGTGAATTTTTATTTGGAGATAAAATTCATTCCCACCTTGTGGGGCGTTGCATCAACGGGGTAGACACCAATATGTCTAGAGACAAAGGCATGTAGTAGTTTATACAATGATAAAAGATATCAACAATTTTAATTTAATGACACGGTTAGTTATTTCATAGAGATATTTATGCACTGTTAGTAGAAATACCTTATTATAAAGATTAAACGATCATGAAGCTTAACTATATGTTGGGTCAGAATGTTTGTTAAGTGTTTGAATAAAATTGGTATTTTGCAAAATGAATTAAGAGAAATTTTGCAATAGTATTGATGTTTTGCTCCAACGAGTATGAATGTTTCTTTATGAGAACGTCAAAACCAAAATGAAAGAAATCTTAGTGTTTTTTTATTAGCAATTTGTTTTTTTATATATTTTTGTTGGGAATTGTAAAACATTATTTCACTCTTTTTATATCAGGACATCATTATGTTAATTCTAAATAAACAATCACATATGAGTTCATTTATTATATATTTTATTTCATTCATGCAATGATATGTTTAATAAATAAATTAATTTATTTTACAAATTTACTCGGCGAAAATCATTCAACACCACGTGGATTGCACTAGTAATAATAAAAGGCGGGATTGGCCCGCCGCTGGGGCGGGTTGTCTCATCCATTTATACCCAATCATACATCTAAAGGTCCATTATTCTCTCTCAAACTCAGAAACTGAAAATGTGACAAATACATAAATGCCTCGTCTAATTATATCCGAATTTGCAGCTACAAGGTCCAATTTTATCTCAGACACACCTCAGCTAAAAGATTCAACATAAGCTACGGCCAAAGGATGCAAAGCTTGATTGTCACAGCACCAAAGCCCACTTGTCATAAAACATGCTTCGTAAT